GGCAGAGCCGAAGCCCGAGAGGCTCGGGGTTACGTAGCGGGCTAAAACTGTCGCTGGTGGTCCTAAATATCAAAGTTTCGGGTTTTACTCCCCTTCTCGCTAATGCTCTTTTATCTTTTCGTGGGTCGTGTTGCAGTGCAGAGCACGGTACTAACATAAGTGATGCGTGTTGGGGGGGAAAGCGCCGCTGTGGGTTGGAGCTGCCTGACTTCTGTAGTGTCTTTAACAGCTTCTTAAAAAGATTAAAAAGTAGGTGTTCTTTTTTTTTTGTGGCTTTAAATTTATTAATGTATTCAGAAGGCTCTTTTTGAGCACCTGCTGTGGATGCCTATGATAAGTACAGCCCTGGCTGGTGTTCTTACATTAAAACTTTGCAAGTGCCTCTGTGAGATCACCTGAAGAACTTAATGGAAAACATCTATCCTTCCAGAGCTCATTTGTAGAACATGTTGGTGCTTCAGTTAGGCAGAAGGGCTTTCTTATTTCTCTTCCAAGAGTTCAGTGATAGTGCTTTAGTGGTTAATGTGTGTGTGCATGTTTACACTACAGAATTAGCTTAATTTCCCTGTGGGAAACTAATGTGGGAATCCTTATTTGCTTTGAAAAGGTAGGCTAAAATAACAGGTGCTCCACTGGGGTATTGGGAAGCCCCAGAAGTTAAAGCACCTGATTTGACCTCAAACTTGTATGATTTGTCAGAAATTAACTTGCAGCAGGTAAGGATGAGTACTCAGGGGAGCCTATTAATTTTTTGGGGGGGGGCATAGTGCTTACTACGTGGAGCTTAATTACAAGGTAAGCGTGATAGGATTGGGTCTGCAAGGAAGGATCATGCAGCAGGGCTTGTGCTGGGGGTTTGTTGACTCTCTATCTCCTGGCTACAGGATATTCTAGCTGAGATTGCCCTTGCAGCCCTCAAAGCAGGATCTGCTGCTCTGCTGCAGAAGCAGGTTCTTAGCACTGGGATGGCCTCTGGAGCTGTATGAACTTTGAGTGCATTTGGCTGGTGGGTTGTTAATAGCATGTATGTTGCTGTAGGTTACACCTGGGGACACTGCAGGAAATTCACTGTATGTATTCCTTATGCAAAGTGAAAATAAAAGTGAAAATGCAGTTTACAGTAACCTGTGTGTTCAAAGTATGCTCTCATGGTCCTCCTAAATATCAGTTGCTCTTATCTTGTTAATTTTTAGTGTAGTTCCTGGTACAGTTAAAAAATGGAGAGAGATGTTGGAGCAGCTAGGAGGGAGCAGGTACATGCAGGCAAACATGTGTCAAACACAGAGAAGGGACTGAGATATGTTCTTTTAGTGCTGTCCTGGTGTACCTGTCTTACCTATGGATAGGGAAATGAGCTTACTGCTTTATATAAGAAGATTAGCTTCCAAAACAGGGTAATGCTAGGTTTCCGTTGCCTCACAAGGAGAGGTTTGGACTGTTGGGCTGGGAATAGTGCCCGAGTTAAAGGCAAGGTCCCCATCCCCAAGCAGCTGTGCTGGGAGGCTCTGATCCATGAGCCAACGTGCTTCCAAAGCCTGCGCTGAGCTTCCCCCAATGGACAGGTGCAGAAGTGGAATCTCCTCGTGAGTCAACATGCTTCCAAAGCCCGTGCTGAGCTTCCCTCAATGGCTTGGACAGGTGCAGAAGTGGAATCTCCTCTGCCAAGTGCAGTCGTCCCGTGTTTCTGATTTACCATTGCACAGGTTTTGTTTTATTGCTCCAGGTGTTATTCAGTGTGCTCCTGCAGCTTGGAACTTTCAACTATGCCTTGTTTGAATTAGGAAGCTAAAATATGAAGCATAGTTTTAAGAAATCATGAACTGAATTTCTTCTAAGTTACTGGTTTTCAACTGAAGAGAAACATACAATGAAGGAAGGAGGAGCAGTCATTTGGCTACTCTGCTCTGATTGTGTAATTGGTTTCAGCTGGAACATAGAGCCTTAAACTTCAGAAGTTGAATGTGAACCCTACAGGAGCTAAACTCACCAACTGATGTGTCTGCCAGTGCAGCTCTTTACGGTGCCTTTTCATTCTTAATATTGTCTTTTCTGTGTAGTTGTATTTGTTTTATATCTTAACAGGCTTGGAGGCTGGACTTTTGGTTCCCTTTAGTGCTCCCTTCAAACATGAATGTCAAGTGAAGGTCAAGTTAACTATCTGCTAGCTAACTATCTGTTATTGGAAAATAACAGAACAATGACTGTACAGATGGTTGATATTTCTCTTAAGAACTTAGGAAATTTATGGTGGCTAATGTGTTTAGGACACTAAATCAATCTGCCAAACCCTTCTAAAACCTTCATTCATTTCTCAATCAATGGTGCCGTATAGTAGTGCCAAGTGTGTAGAAGAAACTGACACATGACTTTTAAAACTCTTTTTATTTACTCTAAAGAAAGACAAACTTTGAATGTAGATGTGATCAGCAGTAGTTAAGCTAGGATGTTGTCCATCTGCTGCTGCTGTCTCGCAAAATATGTGACCCGAAGGACTTCAGATCTTTTATCCTCTATTGAAGATAAAAAGACAATTTATATGTCTTAAAACTAAGATGGTAAGCTTAGTGCCTTTGCCTCTTTATTTTCCAGGCAGGTTTTCAGTTGAGTCTCCCCTCTCGTTTTTGTCTTACTCTGGAACATACAGAACTCATAATATTTCTTTGAAGGCTTGACAACATTAGTGCTGCTTTGCACTTTGATCCCTAAAATGTGCTTAAACTTGAGACATTTCAGGGAACTGGGAAAGTGTACTTCTCCTCCTGGATGGGCACTCTGCAGCAGGA